CCTCCTCCTCCTCCTCCTCCTCCTCCTCCTCCTCACCTCCGTCTTTATTTGATTCTCCTTCTTGTTCCAGCAAAATTTCTAGTAATATAAAAAAGTAGTTAAAAAGTAGAGTTGTTGTTTTTGTTTTTTCTTCCCACTATTTTATTCCTAAAACTTAGACACCAATAATAATAAACAGAGCAACCAACTGCAACAAAAATTTTTGTTGACAGCACTTATTAGACTGCGATTGTAAGAGTATTTTTTTGGAGAAGAAGAAGAAGAAGAAGAAGAAGAAGTTTATAACATTAACCCATTAGATTTTTGGGCTTACAAAAGTAAAACAAAAACTTTAGTAATTTCAAAAAAAAAAAAAAAAAAACAAATTGATGCAAAAACTTAAGCGATTTTTCTATGAACAATATTTCTTTTTTTTCTACCTTATTTTCTTCTCTTTATACTTTTCTTTTTCTTTTATCTTTTGATTACTTTGTTTCAATTTATTTTGGCATTTTTCTGAAAAAAAAAAAAAAGCAAAAAGATTATCATATTTTATTGAGCAATTTTTAATTTAAATTTTCAAACAAAAAACTTGTCAATTTTTGTTAACGTACAAAGTGTGTTGAATGATAAAACTGTTGGCAGTGATTATTTTGAAGGAGATGTGAAACTGTGTCAGTGTTGTTTGGTTGTCAGTTCATTGTTTTTGTTTCAAACTTCACTTATTTGATCTCTTAGTCTGAGTGTGTTTTTTTTATAATTTAAACTCTGAACTTTTAAACTTTGCTGATAGTTTCTTTTTTTTTCTGTTGACAATAACAGTATTAAAAAAAGAAAGTTATAGAAAATTTAGTAAGGTTAAAGATAAAGAAAAAATTAAATAATTAATTATTAACTGGTTTTTTTCTGCTCTATCTTTGTTGATGTTTATCTCTGTTTTATTTAGTAAGCAACAAGACAGGTGTTTTTTTTTTGTTGGAAAGTTAAATAAAATTTAGAGAATAGAAGAAGCAAAAAGCGAGACAGAATCTAGAATTTTGTTTACTGCTATATAGATTCAATTTTGAACTGCTAGGCAATTTTTTGCTTTTTAAAACCAAAGTTAATCTGAACTGTATCTTCCACTGGTATTTAGCACCAAATGATTGTCTGAGGAGTGTATGAGGGAGAAAAGATAAAAGCTTCTTTGAAATATGTAAGAAATAAAAAAAAAAAAAAACAAGAAACTAATTGAAATTTTGGTTTTTTGTATAATATTCGATAAGTCTGTTAAAGCATTAGAATATTTTCAACAGTTAAACTCAGTTAGTTTTTGTCGTTGCTTTATTTTTGAGTTATTTGTAAGATCAGTTAAAGGTTGCTGTTCAGTACTATCGTTAAAACAACTTATTCGCTTTGATCAACCGATATTTAGTGACGTTAAGTGAATTGTAGACACAACAACAGTTCATCTGTAAGCACACTTTATTAAATGAGATTTTGCTGCCATTATTGATG